CCTATTCATCACCGTAAGCTCACTAACAAGGAATGTAAAATTATTGAAGACCGTTTCCAAAAGAAGCTCAGCAGTTGGAAGGGTAACTTGTTGCCATATGGAGTACGACTTTACCCTCATCAACATTGTCCTTACTAGTTTGTCGATGTTCATGCTATCCTTTTCGAGATACCTAAAGGGGTGTTGAAAAGGTTAGAATTTTACCGGTTGAGGTTCTCTTGGTAATGCGAGGAGCAGAGGCGGAAGTACAGACTTGCTAAATGGGATATTTTGTGTAGCCTAAGGATCAAGGCTAGTTGGGCATTGAAAACCTCGAAATAAAAAACAAGTGCTTACTCTGCAAATGGATGTATAAGTTACTTAACGAGGAAGGGTTTTGGAAAGAGTTACTATACATAACAAATACCTGAACTCCAAGACATTATCTCAAGTAGATGTTAAGCCTACCGAGTCACCGTCTTGGAGGGGCTTGATGAAGGTCATGTCATTATTTTTTAAGAGAGGTACCTTTAAGGTTGGTGATGGTCAATCGACGAGTTTTGGGAAGATACATGGTTAGGTGACACTTCATTAGCTCTACAATACTAGACCTTGTATAATATTTTTGGTGGCCTCTATCCTTTGAACATCCAATTATGTAGGGATTTACTGGATCCATTTGGTTTCCATGTTGATGTTGATTAACCTAACTCAGATGCCATATTCGCTGCAATGGAGATTAACCACTAATAGTATCTTCGCTGTGAAGTCTATGTATGCAGATTTTATAGATTCTCGATTTCTGCAGAAAACATATTTGAAAAACTAAGATTCCTTCCAAGATCAAAGTTTTCATCTGGCGTTTACACAGGGAGGTAGTTCTTATCAAATCTAACCTTGATAAGCGTAACTGACACGACAACAAAAAATGGTTTTTCTTTTTGTGATCAGGAGGAGATAAATACATCATTTATTTCTGTCATGTCCATCTACTACCTTGATCTAGCGTTTTGATTCATATTATATAAAATTTCGCACCGCCAACGAGTATTCCAACTTTGTTTGGAAAATGGTCACGTGGTATTTATCATAACCTGAACAGCCAAATCCATGTGGGAGTTTGCTCCATTCTATGGGAAATGTGCAATTGCCGGAATGATCGTGTTTTTAATAGATCGACTATTCCTAATTTTTTGAAGGTTACCTACAGGGCTACGACTTCGATCTGTATATGGTCATCGCTGCATCATGTGGACACACGGGAGCTTATGGCCTCTGGGTGCAACCGGCTTAAATTGGTTGCACAGGGTTTGTTCAACCAGTTTGTTTGGCGAGCCAGTCGTAGATTATGTGAATGAGCTATGTAATCTAGATTGACCGGTTGTGGTCATATTTTTTATCTTTGTTGACTGGCTGGAACTTGGTGACTGTAACTTGATTCATGTTTTAATTATATGACTATGTGCAACCTGTGATGCAGAGGTCAGGATAATCCCCTTTTCAAAAAAAGTCTCCAAAGAACCTTTAGTTTTAGCGTGCTTAACCTTGGGTAATTTGAGGATGGGTGACCAATTGAAAAGTTCTTTCCAGGTGCGCATGAGTGAGGGCAAGTACACAGAAAATACTAGTGTTGGTCCGTGGAGCCAACCTAGGTCCCGTCAAACATAATGGCCAGGAACCCAAAGCTCTGGCTGGGGCGTTACGAGATCACATGGCAGTGATGAAGTACATCAGGAAGAATTTTGCAATGACGATGGTGGCTCGCAGGGGCAGGTTATGATGAGCGGTTGCTTAGTGTCAAGCTTCAGCAGAGTGATGCGTCCGGTTATGACGGACTCATAGTTTTTCTCTGCAACACCATCCTGTAAATACTCTTTTCCAATCATAATGCAATGACATGCAAATTTTTTGCGTATTCTGGAAAAAAAGATCACATGTCAGTTTATCTAGATACATATTTTTTGAAGAAACACCAATCACGCAACTTATGCTAAGCTTCAAGATTAACATAGTCACCACACAAGTGTCTTACCATTATCCTGGTGAGCTCATAGTACAACCATCCTCCCAATCATCTAGTCACATGTTGGTTCTCAAAAACCACACAACCTGGAAAGCACATCGAAACACGAAATGATAGCAACCAAAGGAAATCTAGAGCTTGATAGTGACGAGCAAAATGGAAACTAAAAGATAATAAAAAAATACATGTGCATACGTTAGGATGCGAAGGTCTGGAGCCCAAATTTGACCCAACCATAGCTTTGTGTTTAATGGTCAGAGATGCGACAATTCCTCTTTCTTCGAGATATCCGCAAGGCCTGTAGCAATATATGCTCCCAAAATACTAGATACTTGAAAAAGTAACACTTCTCTCTAAAGTATATAAAACCATGATACATATCCGACATAATCAGTTTTCCTAAATCCGTCTGAAGTTATACTATTTTATGTACACAGAAACATGTAGCATATACACGCATACATGTGCTCATTTGAAGGGAAAAGCTAGCATACATAAAATATTTCATACAATTTATCATCATATTTCTTGTTTTCCTTCACGTTCTTTAATAAATGCGAAGTAAAAACTTGTGAGAACTCCAAAATGTTATACCAATTTTGGGCAAAAGGAGCTTCAAGCGGGTGGTGAAGCTAGTAGAGACCAAAATGTTATGGTCACTCTGTTAATCGTCAAAGTTTTTTTTGTGTGTGGGGCAATCATCAAGTTTTCAAGGTAACAGGTTACTTATTTTTGGTAAATGTAATATTTTTTAGTTGAGAAGACTTCAAATTTTAAGTAAAATTGCTATCAAACCTCCAATTCATTGAAAAGGTTTAGACATTTTCTGGCCAAATGCTCGGTTGCTTGAAATTGTCCCTGATTCTCTACTTAAGTTAAATATACCTTGGCTAGGTGCATCTTCTAGCTAGTTCCGTATATCTGACTGTACACATATCTCACTACAATGAGTAAAACGGCAACTATCCGGTGGCCACCGATGCACTGCCCCACCCCTTCATCCACCGTCCATCTCCTCCACCTCACCAATGGCTGCTGCTACAGCCCCATGGGTATGGTACGGTGTTCTATTGTATGACTATATTTTTTTTTATTGAAATAATGTATTTTATGTTGTGTTGCATATATAGCTTTTGGTCGATAACTCAACAGCATCGTGCCGTTTATTTTATAAGTAATCCTTCCTACGTGTCTCTTTGCTTACCAATTACTAATGTCCAGTATCCCCGTATGCCTGATAGAGGAAATACATTCTTTACAAGCTTGCAGATGTAATTGTAGAAGCTTTCAATCATTTCAGAAGATATTTTTAAGGACAAATATTCAAAAAGAGAAGGAAAAAAAAGCTCATCAGGTAGCTCACTGCCCAATTGCCCATCCCTATCCTTCTTTTTATCCAAACGTGACAAAAGCACATCATTTGACACGAACATCTCATGGTATGTACTTACATGATGTTCCATCCCTCAGACTTTGGCTGTACATGCATGCATACTTTGGTCGGCCATCTTCCCGGTTCAATCTCAAGTGCGCCCAAAAAGTTGATCTCTCCTCGTAAACAAGCTATAGCTAGGGAAAAGCAAGCATTTTTGTTGTGACTCGTTTGTTTTTGCATGGAGGTCAATCCGACCCTGGCTTTTATGTATCCCTAGCTAGGTTAATTAGGTAAGCTTAGGGTCTATTTAGTTTCAAATAAGTTACCAACTTATAAGTCGAAAAGTGAAAAAAGTGACTTATTTTGCCAAACAGACCCGACTTATAAGTCACCCCAACTTATAAGTCATAAGTTGCTCCACCCCAACTTAAAACTTATAAGTCACCTCTTTTGCGTGGGTCCCATCACATGCATGATGTGGATTGGTGTGGGAAGGTGTGTCAGGTGACTTATAAGTCAGGTGACAATCAAACAGGCGTGACTTATAAGTCACTGGTTTTAAGTCCCTGACTTATAAGTCAGGTGACTTATTGGAACCAAACAGGACCTTAGGTTTGTAATGTTGTTTCAACAGCAGTAGTATCCCAAGACCCAGTTGTGTCCTTTATGTTTTCTGTTTCTAGGACACACGCAGACTTTCTTGGAATATGTGTCTAGCTAGAAATTAGGAAATGTTTAGGTTGGGCTGTAAGCTTGCGCAGAAAAGGGTACTCCCTCCGTTTCTTTTTACTCCGTATATAAGATTTGGTCAAAGTTAAACTACACAAAGTTTGACCAAATTTATATAAAATAATATGAACATCCACAATACTAAAACTATATAGTATGAAAATACGTTTCATGATGCATCTGATAGTGTTGATTTCATATTGTAAATGTTTATATTTTTAATATAAAGTTAGTCAAACTCTACAAAGCCTGACTTTGACCAAACCTTATATGCGGAAAAACGGAGGGAGTACGTTGATATAGTAGAAACTTGACTCGAGCAGGAAAGATCGGTTGGAATTTTCCACATGCAGAAATGACATTAATGCATGACATCGGCAAGAACATCCAGTCGTCATCCTCCCTTGCTACCCAGCCATTGTTCTTACTCTTTACAGATATATTTTTTTGAGATGAAAAAGTTGATTTCTACATATATAACTGCATTACATTTTACGAGGTCATGCATAGCCTTACAATAAAAATTGCTCAGAACATGCTAAAGATATGCTTAATGAACCCCAAATTCATGGACACACAAGACACAACACACACCTATTGCTCCATCAAATGGTGTGATCGATTGAGATCACCCAACACCTTACAGAGCGTTGGATCGATAGTACTGCTAACCACTTCTCTAGCACTAAAGAAAACTTCCACAAACCCTAACAGTAAAGCAAAAACGACAACAAACGGCGACAACAAGAGCCACAGAGGTAAAGCTCAGGAGCTATCTAGCTGTAGTACTACTACTAGTAGTAGTATATGTGTAGTGTTTGCTCGTGCGTGTGGCATGACTTGACTGGAGCCAGCCGGCGGCAAGAGTAACCGATGGAATGATCGACGGCCTCGTCACCGCGCCGCGGCGCCGCAGACGACGTCGTGCTCGATCTCGGAGACGGCGCCCTCGTCATCGTCGTCGAAGCCGCCATCGCCACCGGCGGCGCCGTTGCAACCGAAAGCGCCGTGGCCGTGACCGAAGGCGCGGGCGTGGTCCTTGAGCGAGCGCTTGTGCTTGAACTCGGAGCCGCAGAGGCAGTACCAGAGCTTGCCGCAGTTCTTCTCGTGGGTGCGCCAGTCGCCCTTGACGGCGAAGGCCTTGCCGCACCGGCGGCAGAGGAAGGGCTTGAGGCCGTGCTTGCGCTTGTAGTGCGTCTGCAGGGTGCGGAAGTCCTTGAGCGGCTTGGCCCGCGGGTGGTCGATGTTGTTCCGGCACCCCGCCGCGCAGCAGTAGCACGGCAGCCGCAGCATCGCCGTCGGCTGCACCCCGCGCAGTGACTCGGGGCCCTTCCGGTACTGCGACCCGTGACCCCACATGTGCATCTGCAAATGCACAACAATCAGTTTGGCAATTAGCCATGCCGGCCGTCTGTTAAATTTTTGTTTGGAGTTTGGACACGTATCTACTACTAGTACTTTAAATTAGAGCAAAGAAAAACCAAGTTCAGATCATATCATATGCTTGTAGGTTTTTCGTACTACTTCACATTAATGCAGTGTTTGGTGGTGCCATAATCAATGGAGTTGTAGTAAGATGCAAAGCCCTAGTCGTGCTGGAATGCACTGATGCTTCTGGTGTGATGACTGATGAGGACTTTTTAGAGTATATAAGTGTGTGTGAGTTGTGATCAAACTGAACCCGGACTTTCTTCATGCAGCACACAGCAGCAGTATTAATTTTTTTTAAACGAAACAGCAGCAGTATTAATCAGTTTGCAAGCAGAGAAAGCTGCATATGTATTTTGGAAATGAGGGCTCTAGTGATCTAGCAATCTGGGCAGCTAGCTAGCTCTTTCGCTTGTGTGTTAGTGTACGTTGGTGCTGTTTCTTTAAAGAGAGCAGAGCCACAGAGTAGTGGCACTGTGGTGGACTACAGGAAGAACACTGCAGGTCTCTTGATGCTCTTGGGAGGAGTGTGCATGAATCATTCAGGATTGTCATTTTTGCAGCAGATCGAGCCCATAATATCGCAATCTTATGCTTCCGAAACATGAGAAAGCCTGTCCTGAAACAACCTACGCATGCATGCAGCTAGCCAAATCTCATCAGCCATGAATCATGAGTAGTGGTCAGGAACTCAGGGATAGCTAGTGGAGTACTAGTACTACCCTACTGAGAGTGGTAGAAAGTAATCTGATTGACTGATCGGTTGTACTAAGACACGGAGGCAACTAAACAAAGAGAAAATCTTCCCTGGGATCTCCACTACACACCACTCGAATGCATCCTCAAAAGCCAAACACCCAAGAGAGAAAAGCGTAAAGATGCATGCATGGCTAGCTAGTTGCTGCAGCTCCTGGCATGCCAGTCTAGTTCAATCAAACAAAAAGTCAGCCACTGTGCATGCATGCTCTTCTCAGCAGCTCAAGTCAATTTCATGGAGTCATTCATGGCATGCATCTTGCAATCAACGCATCATGAGCAATGATTAATGCAACAAGTTACAAGTATATATTAGACGAACGAAATTACTACATGCCCAAGATGTTCAAGAAGAACAAGAAGAGAAGCTGCGAATGATTCTGACCTGCATGTTGTTGTATCGGTTGAATGTCTTGAAGCAGACGGGGCAGGAGAACTGGGTGGGACCGATGAGGATCTGCGACGGCGTCGGGATCCAGTATTGCCCCTTGTTCAGCCTCCCGATCGGCGCCGTCGAAGAGAACCCTAGAGGCACCTCCTCGTGCCCGCCTCCCGGCTTGCAATCATCTTCCTCCTCCTCGTCCTCTTCCGCGGCCCTGCCCGAAAGCCCGGACAGAAGGTCAGCTTCAGCGGCCGGGAGGCCGATGCGCAGAGCAACGGCGGCGTCGTCCGTGGACGTGGACCAGGAGGCCTCGACGTCCATCGGGTCGCCGTCGCCGTCGTCGCAGCAGGACGGCACGCAGTTGAGGTCGGCGAAGAGCGGTGTGCGCGCAGAGGTCGTCCTCGAGCCCGCCGCCACCTCCTGCTGCAGGTGGTAGCAGCAGTCGTTGTCATCGTCGTCGGAATCGGTGTCGGCGACGTCGTGCTGCTGGGCGGCACGAGGGCGGGCGGCGGGCGTGGGCGAGAGGGAGAGGAGGGGGAGCGCCTCCCGGAGCGGAGGGGAGGGAGGCGCCGTGCTGTAGTGATGAGCGGGCTGCGCCGGCTGGTGCTGGAAGAACGAGGGGTACTGGTGGTGAGGAGCTGCGGTCGCAGCCGCGGCCACGGCGGGGTAGAGGG